TATAGTTGCTGATTTTTTATAATAAAGTGTGAGTGTATCGGTTATATTCATCTTTGGATATTAAAAGGTTAATTCTGAAGAAATCACAATATAACATTTGTTCACTGACCAACGGACAAGAAACGAATGCTTACAGAAATTCAATCCAGAAATAGTATTTACAAAAGCATAAACTTACATTGAATGAATTATATAATTGATGCGCTGAACTGTACGTATGTTAGAAAGTTTTGACTAAAACGTTTATTTTTGGAGTATTTATACCCGACACGCAATCGTCCGCCTATGCTGTTGTCTAGCCTCAGCAATATACTCTAGAAAATAACATTAGTGTGGACAAAGTGTCTAAAGACGAATTGACGAATCGCAGTTTTTGGCGTAAAAATGATGCAACAATTCGCATTTTACCATTGTTTTGCGAATTCGTAATTGAATGCGAAGTGATGCGAACTAACAAAAATGATCAAAAACGAACCAAAAAATTGATTCTTTTCTTCCTTTTACCAATTCGTAAATTAGGACGAATTCGTAAGAAAGAAATTTTCGGTACCTACAAATTCCTAAATCGAATTGGTCGACCATCGACGAATTCGTGAAATGATCATTTTGGTCCCCAAGAATTCGTAGAATACGAATTGATCAGTTGAATGAATTAATCAAAAAATGCGACAATAGACTATATTAATACATGTATCTGTGCGAAACAAAACAGAGGGAAATCTCTCTCCCTTTTGTGTGCATGTGCCGAGCGGGGGGGGGGGCAGTGAGGATGGCTGTGAGTATTTACACAACATGCCGTATTGTACGAATTCGTAAGAATAACGGCGAATTGGTTTGAGAAGTATGCGAATCGATGAGAAGAGACGAATCTATCTATTTTTAATCTCAGAGAAAAGTGTCCTGTCCCTCAATAGCCTATTAAGCGTACACATGGATTCGCAATGAATTTGCAGAATGGGTTTGTCAATTCGTGGATCCATTTTCAATCGGATCAGTTCGTAATACAAATTCGCTAATTCGTATTTACGAATCAATCTAGTTCCAAAAAGAGTGAACACGAATTCGTAAACTAGTTTTACGAATTATTTGCCAATTGATCAGCACCGTGTTTGATCTATTCTCTGTTTACGAATTCGCAAGAAGAATTCGTAAAAGTTTTTAAGAGTATCCGTACGAATTTAATACAGTTCGCATCAATTCGGTACGAATTCGCAAAATAAGAGTAAAACGCGAATTGTTGCATCATTTTTACGCTTAAAAGTTGCGATTCGTCAATTCGTCTTTAGACACTTTGTCCACACATCTCGAAAATAATGCTTTTCTTCGACGGCCTGAAAACACATTGGTCACAAAAAATGATGTTATGATCGACAGAATAGACTAAACAGACTGTTTGCAGTTCTTCTATGAACTAAAGAAAACTTTTATTTTCAGCAGCAACGAATATGTATGACATCTTTTATTTGATTTGATTGAATTTTGAGTAGAATGCATGTCCTCAACGACTCTATTTTACGCTGTAGGGAAGTGCGATATAGGTGATTTTGCTCGTACCTACTTCTTAGTACTTTCTTTACTCATAAGAAAATCTGGCTAAATTTTGCAGGAGTATCATCAATTTACACATGTCTGCAAAAGAAATTATGAAGACAACTTTTTATCTCTTTTTCCATCATTTTGAGAGAGTAGATAGCAAGAGTCGAGTAAAAATACAAAAATATCATTTGTTTGCAGACGCGCGGCAAAGTTCAAAACTCCTCTAATTTAAGATAGTTATTATAACACTAGCAATACAGTGACACAAAATTTTTACAACATATAATTCATCTAGTCTGCTTTTTTATTTTAGGCAAATCACTATTGGAACACATAGATGTAGAGCTACTTCTCGAGAACTTGGTAAGTGCTACATGCATAGCCTACACGGTGAAAAAAAAACAGTAAGAAAATCCGTAAAATCCATAAGAATAGAAGGAAAACCGTGTTTAAGAACCGTGTTGTGGAATGAATTTAGAATGAGTAAAAAGTGAACTAATAAGGGTAGATAAAAGACTTGAAAGAGAGGAAAACAAAATAATAAATTCAATCGTTTTAGTCTTGAAAGTTTTTATTACGGGATAGAGATCATAAATAGGCAGTGGAAAGTGACTGACAGCGTATAGTTTGAATTTTAGTGACTGCCAGTATCGAGCAATGACTACAGCAGCAATTGATGATGCTCCAAATGATAATTTGAAAGATGTTACCATAATTTGGTTTGATGCTACCATTGATGAAAGCTGTCGTCACACTCGACGAAATTTGCGAAATATTATCAATTTTTTAAAAAGATTTACTGATTGTTCTGAATGTGTCATTACATAGAAAATGTCAAAAACGAAAAGATATTTCTGATCGTATCGCGTTTACATGCAGAATCTGTTGTACCTGTTATTGAAAGTCAACCACAAGTTTTTGGAATTTATGTTTATTGTCGAGATCAAACTAGACATAAAAATTGGACGAAAAATTATTCAAAAGTTTTTGGAATTTTGACTGAGGAAAATCAACTGGTCATTAAATTGACGAACGATGTCAACGAAAGCTTTGTAAGTTTTTATCCATGTCGGTGCTAAGCTCAAAATCTATGGACACACAGCTAACAGATGTACGTAAGGAAAATGCTACGTGCATATGGTCTCAGTTACTCATCGAGACATTACTTCGAATGCCGAATTCCGATACCGCTAAAGATGAGCTATTAAACACATGTGAACAACAGTATTATGGTAATGCATTGGAATTTAAAAATGTGCAAGAATTTCGAAAAGACTACCAGTCGGATAAAGCTATATTTTGGTATACAAAATCCACGTTTTTATATCGATTAATTAATAAAGCAATACGAACAAATAATATTGATGTTATATTCAGTTTTCGACTTTTTATCAAAGATCTTTACAATGAACTGCTAGTATTACATCAAATGCTTCCGAAGCAGATGACCGTTTATCGCGGTCAATTGATGACAAAAGAAGAATTGAACGTAATACAAAACAGTATAAATGGTCTGATTTCAATGAACACTTTTCTGTCGACAAGTACCACATACGACGTAGCATACACGTATGCTGAAAGCTGTCTCATTAATGCTGGTCTCGAAACAGTCCTATTTCAAATTGAAGTCGATACAACTATTGATGCAAAACCGTATGCTGGTGTAATAAAGGTCAGCAATTATGAAGACGAGAATGAAGTGCTGTTTTCAATGGGAACAACTTTTTCGATTGATGAAGTGATATCACTAGAAAATGATATTTGAGTGGTGATGTTGACGTTGACAATGGAAGAAGATTCCGGGTTAGTTAACGTCACCTAAGTCCAAAATAAAAACCAACAAGTAATTCCACCACCTCAATGGGAGGTTTTTAACTCACTTGACCTGTTTGATGATGCAGAAAAATTACAAAGTGATGACAAATATGATGAATCTATCCGAATACTGGAAAATACGCATGATTTAGTTTTAAAATATTCTCCCCGTGACAATATAATAACTCCAAGTATATTATTGAACATTGGATGTGTTTACGCAATGAAAGAGGATTATTCAACGGCTCTACTTCATCATAATAGAACAATCAAATTATTATCCCCAGATCATGTTGTATTTAAACATTTTCAAAGCTATAATAATTGTACACTAGGCCATCCTTCTATTGATAGAGATGACTTATCACCGATGGATGGACTAAAGGACATGAGTAAACTAATACTTAAAACATACTATAAAGAAGGTATTGTCTCAATTAATAAAGAATTGCTCAATGATGCTATGAAGTTTCTTCAGATGTCTCATGCCCTTCAGCTTGAATACTCTACTATCAGAAATTAAGGATAATGAGGAAGCAGAACACATATTCAGTAATGTGAATAATCATCTGTTAGAATATATCAATGGAGACAAGGAGAAAACTCAAGAAAATACCATCAAGTTAGCAGCTACATATATTTGCTGTGGAGTTGTTTAGTAGAGTTGTATTTATTTTCAACATTGTTGTTATTATATACGCTGTACAGTGTAGAGAAAACAATCACTTATTATAAACGTAATTGCAACCCAAATAACAATTTCACAAATGGTAACTATCAATAATTATGATGAAAGAAAAGTTCAGACCAAAGACTTTTTCGTTTAATTTGTCACTTCTGTTAATTAAACGACGAGAAGATTAGAAAAAAGTAAGTTATTAGTTTTCATGAAACTGTTGAACTCCTGAGAAAGGAAAATGAGCAAAATACATGAGAATAATGATTACTGTAGTATTAATTTGTCACTCACGATTTGTTCTGATTCACAGTCCAGTGAAGCACAGTGTGCTACCATGCAGACATTTGGCAAAAAATCGAAAGCGCTTTTTCAAGATTCAAATAGTGCCAAATATACGTTGATTTGCGGGCAATTTAATGGCGTTGTTTGCTACAAGTTGCGAATTCTCGGAAAGAATGAAAAAAACTAACCTATATTTTAGAGTCCTCTGAGAAAAAACCATTTTTTAATCGCATTAAGTCAATTCAAAAGTATAAAAAGTATGTCTTCAGAATCCAGACGCTTCTAACTATCTATTAATAAAACGAATTTTTACCGAGACTTTTAGTTTTAGATAAAAGAAATCATTGTCCGAACTGACAGTGTTTCCGAAAAGCAAGTTAAAGTGGAATGAGTTTCCCATACTTTCCCAGTCTCCAAAATGCATGAAAATTTCCTGAAAAATTCATCCACATACCCTGCATCTATGGTGCATGCGGTTTTTATTTTGGACTTAGGTGACGTTAACTCATCCGGAATCTTCTTCCATTGTCAACGTCAACATCACCACTCAAATATCATTTTCTAGTGATATCACTTCATCAATCGAAAAAGTTGTTCCCATTGAAAACAGCA